AAGGCCTGGGCCAAATCTGCGGCCGAAGATCATGGGGGGAGGGCTGCCTACTGCTATGTTCGAGAGCCTCTGCCGGATATTCAGATATACACGGAAGCCACGGACGATTTGCCGCCACTCCCTGTTTAGGGTCAGCAGGCAGTCGATCGTCTGCTCGAACAGTGAGAGCCGTTGTGGAACGCTCCCAAGCGTGATGGTGCAGTTATTCCTAGGGACTGGGCTCGCGGGGGGGGGGCCCTCTACGCCTGCGGAGGCATCGATCCCGCCTCTGGGCCTTATGGTTCCTGGGTGGTTTTGATCCCTGGGCGCCGCTTCCGAGGGTCACCATCGCTCTGCTTAACGATGTCTTGTCGTCCTACTCTGGCTCGCGTGGGCAAGGATGAGGCCACTTGCATCCGCGTCAGGTTTTGTGGCCCCCTGACAGTTGCAATTAAGCTTTCCTGGACATTTTATGGAGGCGGGAGCAGGGTCCAGAAGATTTGGAGCTCTGGGCCCTTTGGATTTTCTTCCCAACCCTCCTTGGTTGGGTATTCGTTTTGAATAGAGCAGTGTGGTCTCCACTCCTTCCTTCCTCCTCCTCCCTCCCTGCCTCTTCCTGTCTTGCCTGCGGGGGGCTGCGATCTGTGAAACTGTCGCCATTTTCGAGGCCTGCTGGGGGGCCCAGCAAAGTGAGGGCGACGCGCAGATTCAAATTAGACCGCGCCATCCCTGGGGGGGGTGCGATCTGTGAAACTGCCGCCATTTTCGAGGCCTGCTGGGGGGCCCAGCACAGTGAGGGTGACGCGCAAATTCAAATTAGACCTCGCCATCCGTGGGGGGGCTGCGATATCTGAAACTGTCGCCATTTTCGAGGCCTGCTGGGGGGCCCAACACAGTGAGGGCGACGCGCAGATTCAAATTAGACCTCGCCATCCGTGGGGGGCTGCGATCTGTGAAACTGTCGCCATGTTCGAGGCCTGCTGGGGGGCCCAGCACAGTGTGGGCGACGCGCGGATTCAAGTTAGACCTCGCCGTCCCTGGGGGGTTGCGATCTGTGAAACTGCCGCCATGTTCGAGGCCTGCTGGGGGGCCCAGCACACTGGGCACTCACCGCAGATTCAAGTTCGACTTCGCCATCCCTGGGGGGCTGCGATCTGTGAAACTGTCGCCACTTTCGAGGCCTGCTGGGGGGCCTAGCACGGTGGGTACTCACCGCAGATTCAAGTTCGACCTCGCCATCCCTGGGGGGCTGCGATCTGTGAAACTGTCGCCACTTTCGAGGCCTGCTGGGGGGCCCAGCACAGTGGCGCCACACGCAGATTCAAATTTGACCTCGCCATCCCTGGGGGGGCCGCGATCTGTGAAACTGTCGCCACTTTCGAGGCCTGCTGGGGGGCCCAGCACAGTGACGCCACACGCAGATTCAAGTTAGACCTCGCCATCCCTGGGGGGCTGCGATCTGTGAAACTGTCGCCACTTTCGAGGCCTGCTGGGTGGCCCAGCACAGTGTCGCCACGCGCGGACCCAAATTAGATCTCGCCATCCCTGGGGGGCTGCGATCTGAGATCCCCGCCTTCGAAGTGGCTAGGGTTGCTCAGGGATTGTAACTAATCAGCTTTATCTAGTCCTTGTCCTGTAGCCAGTGTCCTGCGAGTGTCCCGAATTCCGTCTGCAGACATATGTAAGCCTCGTTCCGTCATCGCCCCCTGTATAAAGTGTCCTAAACTATTTGCGCCCCGCGTTTGCGCAGGGGTTGGGTACGTCGCCAGGGTAATTTTTAGGCAAACCGGCTCTGCCTCGGGAGCTCGGCCGATGGTGCCGGCCTCGGTTCGGGGGCGAATCTGGTCTCGACTTCGGCAACCTGTGGCCAGAAACTGTGGGCCCCCTCTCTCAATAATTTGGGTTTCTGGGGCGGATCGGGCCTGACCTGTGATAGGGCAGGCCATGCTCATAACATAGTTCATAGATTTGAAGGCTTCGCCGCCATCAGTGGGACGCTAGATTTAAACAAATACTATGAGCACATCTCTCATGAGGACCTGTTGCGGGAAGGCCTGGCCGCGGGGTTCCCGATTCAGCTCCTCAAATGTTTTCGTGAAAGCTATCGCCTCCCAAGGAGAGCTCGGTGGAAGGCTGCAATTTCAGACGCGGTCAGAGCTAACGGCGCCGTCTCGGCCGGTTGCAGTTGCGCGCTAGCGCTGGCCAAATTTTTAGTCCACGCTGTGATTGTTTCTTTCCAGCGGAAGTATCCCGCTGTCAGGGTTTCGAATTTAGTCGATGACTTCCTCTTACAGGCCATGGGAGGTCGTCTCCATGTGCTTGAGCAATTCCTTCAGGCCATGTCGGGTCTAGTGGCCGCGCTGCAGCACAGACAGCTAGTAGTCAACTGGGACAAGACTGGTTACATGACTAGCTCGGCGGATCTTGACGATGGCCTCAACCAGAGGTGGAACCTCAGCTTTGAGCAAAGGCTCAGCAGCGGCAGGGTTCTAGGCACAGACGCCAACAGTGGCGCTGCGCGAAGTGTCACGGAGCAAAACAAACGGATGGCCAAAGCGGCCTCGGTATCAGCACATGTTTTTGCTTTGAGGAAAGCTGGGGCAAGCGTCAGCACAATAATGAGGGGCTCTCCTACGGCGACGGCGGTGTGGGGGGGGCGGCGGCCACGGGCATTGCTGACGGAGGAGGGGTTCGAACTGGCAGTGTCCCCCGGGATCGAACCGGTAGTGACCCCCTCGGGTTTTCGAGGAGGGGGGGGGGTTCGAACCAGTAGTGGCCCCTCCTGGTTTTCGAGGCGGGGGGGGGGATTCGAGCCAGTAGTGACCCCCCCCCCTTGTTTTCTGGAGGGGGAGGGGGAGGGGTTCGAACCGGCCGGTAGTGACCCCACTCTGGTTTTCTGTGGGGCGGGGGGGGGGTTCGAACCGGTAGTGACCCCCCATGGTTTTGCGGGGGGGGGGGTCGAACCCGTAGTGGCCCTTCCCGGTTTTCCGGAGGGGGGGGGGTAGGGGAGGGGGGGGGGGTTTGCCGGAGGGAAGGGGGAGAGGGGGGGGGATCCAGCAGGGGGGGGGGGGGGGGGGGGCGATTTTCGGAGGGGGGGAACCCCGGGCTCCGAAGGAGGAGGGGGGGAATGTTCCACAGTAAAGCGGCGGTGGATCACGCTCTCTCTGATGTTGGCGCGCCTGGCGCACTTGGCATACTTGGCCCGCCTGGCTTAATTTGTGGACTTGGTTGGCCTCGCGCACCTGACGCGCCTGTTGCATTTAGCGCGCCTGGCGCACCCCGCGCGCTGGGCACCTTTGGCGCACCTGTGGCACTGGGCGCCGCCTGGCGCACGCGGCGCGTCCTTGCGCACCTGGTGGTCGCGGGTGGGTGGCGGGCCAACATGTCGACAACAGTCGTTTCACGACGGAGCGCCTTTGTTTGCCCGCGTGTCAGGCAATGTTTGCATCCCAAACTCTCGATTCACTCCCTCTTCGCATTCGATCGCGCCATTTTTTTTGGGGGGGGGGTCCTGCTCCCTGCGGCGGCGGGCGAGCTTACGCGTCGCGGGCGGGCGGGTCGGCCCGTGCGGACCCCAAAGTCGCGGGGCAGGGAGGGTCGAGGCGGCCTTGACTCGGGTGGGCGGGTCGGGCTGGGCGGGCCTGAGAGTGGGGCGGTGGGGCCTGACATTGGAGCAGAGCCATGCTAGGTGATGGGGTAGAGAAGTGAGGGGCAGGGAGGAAGTAGATAGGAGGGGCAGGGAGGGTGGAGGGGGGAGGAGGGATGGGGTCCGCGCAAGGAACTTCAGGTTCAGGCTTGTGAGAAATGTGACCGTTCTACGAGTGGGAGCCCCGGTGCAGCTTGCGCCTAGGTGGGAGCGGGGTTCCTGAGTAATGTAGGAGGGGATTTGAATGGAGAACGCCATTCCTGAGCGGCGAGACCGCAGTTCCTGAGTATGGTCCGTGGTTGTCCCGTGGGACGTGCAATTCGAAATTCAAATCCGATTGCAAACTGTATGCGCGTCGAATGGACATCGACCCGCACGTCGACATGTAATCGGAATGCAGGTCGACGTGCATGCAAGTCGACATGCAAAGCGAAATTCAATTCGAGATGCATATCCAACTGCAGCCGTCCTACATACCGAAGTCGAGGTAGACGTCCGAATGAAACTTTGAATGCAGATCTGCATGCGTAATCATCGACATTAGTATAGACCTTCAAATCGAAATGCTAATCCCAAAGCGTATTGAACTGCAATGCCAATAGCAAGCGGCATGCCGATCGATGTCCACATCGACATGCAACCGAAATGCAACCCAACCGCAATCGACATACACATCGAACTGTACATCCAACTGCAAACCAAAGGCACATCTACATGTCAGGTCCTCGCCCCCTAACCTTCTTATCGCCGAAGGCTAGTCCATAAGGCTGTTACAGTGACAACACCAAGAATCTGCACTTCGGAACCCCACTTTAGCCAGGCAGATAGGGACAATGTAAGACCATTCGGCCCTCCACTGATATGCATTTGCGTGGCCATGCGGTTTCCAAGCTAAGAGCGTCAGATACTGCGATGGGCCACCCCGCACGCACAGAGGGTTGTTTGATGTTGTGAGTGCTCTGTTTTCAATTTGCGTGGTCTGAGCAATGAAGCGTACGTTCGGATGGAAAGTAACGCTTTGTGACCAGCTCAGATTTGTTCACTTTGCTGCGGAGATGACGGTCAGAAGTCGGAGCAGTTTGCGTCGAAGACAGGGGAGGGTCATACTGTGTCCAGCAGGGTGGCCGCCTGGTCTAGTGCGCTCGCGCCCAGCGCGGCCCGCCGGTCTTGCACGGACGCGCCTGCGCTCGCCGGCGCTGCCGATGAAAAAGTGTTCGGCCATCGATGTGGATCTTTCATGGGAGGCTCGGCCGCAGGCTCCCGTCCACATTCGCTGGGGGTGCACCCAGACTGGACCGACCGACAATCTTATCACGCTCGCTGTCGCCGGCCTCCCCGCCGCCCAGCGCCGGCAACCGGCACTCCCGGGCGCGAGGCGACGAGGCGTTCGCTATGAGGGTGGCCGCCGCGATGGCCGCGGAGCAGAGCGGGAACCTTCGCTTTGCGGGGTGGGTCCAGGGCAGTAGCGCTGGGGCTTTCTCGTCACGACGCAGAGACAAGACATTAGATGACGTGATAACGTTTGAGGGCGTTTCTGCAGTGTTCAGGATCAACTGGTTTTCCCATTATGGGTTCGTTTTTTTATTCTCCGTTTTGGGATTCTGATTCGCGCCGTTTTCGGTTCGGTTCCGTTTTGTACTCCCGTTTTTTTGGGGGTGGAGATGCTTCCTATTTTGCCGTTTTTGCTGACCGAAACCCGAACAGTTGAGAACGGGGCAGAATGCCCCCTAGCGTTTTCAAAATCAATTAAGGACATGACTGACGGAGGCCAACTGCTTGCAAGACGCACCGGCACTTTCACCTCAAGGCTGTGCCTTTGTCAATTCGAATATTGGCCCAAGCCCAAAGCAGTCTCGGTAAGTCGCTTTCTGGGTGCTTTGGCCTAATCCTGCAACGCCCTCGCGGCTTTCCACGCAGGTCGCGGCCTCTTGTGCAGAGGACGTTATTTGAGTTTTTCGGACGGCACCGTTTCGCAGGCCCAGGGCCGCTGACCGACTGCTTCCTTTTGACTTGGGCGCACCTGCCCTGGGGCTCAGGGGGTAGAGGAGACACCTGGAGGGACCTGCTGAGATGGTGCGGGGTGGGGGGCGAGAGAATGGAGTGGACGTCGCGGAGGTGTACGGTCCGTGCGTGTGTGCGTGCGTACGTGCGTGTGTGTGTGTGTGTGAGAGTGTGTGTGTGTATGTGTGTGTATGTGTGTGTGTGCTTTTGTTGTGAGTTTGTGCGTGTGTGCGCGTGTGTGTGTGTGTGTGTGTGTATGTGTGCGTGTGTGAGTTTGCGTGTGTGAGTTTGCGTGTGTGCGTGTGTGCGTGTGTGCGTGTGTGTGTGTGTGTGGGTGTGCGTGTGTGTGTGTGTGTGTGTGTGTGAGTGTGAGTGTGAGTGTGTGTGTGTGTGTGCGTGCCCACCGCCACTCAGTCTCCTTACGACCCCAGCCCACCTCTCCTGCCTACGGGAGCACATTTGCGCCGTCTGCGCCCTATCGCAGGCACTCCTCGGGTCTACGGTGGGCCTGCTCCCAGAGGATCAGTCCCCACTGCCCCCCGCTACCTCGAAGGCGGGCTATGCGGATCCTGCAAGGAACTTTTCTTTGCCCCCCCGTCCGTCGCGCTACCGAGTGCCACCCTGCGCCCGCCAGTCCTCAAGATAGGCGACGATCGCTTCAACACCGCCATGCAGTCACCGTGCATCTTCTGTGACCAGTGCGGGAGGGCCGCCTTTGACCCCCAGAAGGACCACGGAGGCACTTGGGTGGCCGCCAGCATCAGGGAAACGATAGCCGCTAGCCGGCTGGAGTGCTACAGGATGGGGAAGGATTGCCAGTGGCACTGCAACGCTTGCTGGAGGAACGACCTCACGGCCAAGGGGCTCCCAACGCCAACAAGCGGCAGGATGGCAGAGCACCTCGCCAGTATCGAGGGCGGTTAGCTCGGTAGGCACAGGCGCACCCCTGGCCCCCTTCCCGCCAGTCCCCCTGTGGACTGCCCCGACGCCGACACCCCGCTCTCTTCCCTGCTACTGGTGCCGGTGGGTCTCAGCAACCCTGCCTACACCAACACCTCCATCCCCTGGCTCCGTACCGCAGACGACAGGCGCCTCAACGACGGCCGTTGGAAGTGCCAGTATGACCGCTGCCCCAGTGACCTCCCTCCTGGCAATGGCCATGCGGGGAGGCCCCTCTCGGCACCTTCAATTTCTGGCCGGGGGACGAGGACCTTGGAGAGAGTGCGCACGGCCTCCCGACCTTTCACGAGCGTGCGCAGCTCTTTGCCAAGTTGTGGAGCGCCACCTGGTACCGCTTCGACTGCCTCGTGCACTTGTGGGAAGCCCGCCCCAACCATGTCAAGAGCAGATTAGCGCGAGACTGCACCCTCATGTTTCCCCCGGCTGCCCCCAGGCGGGAAAGGATGCCACCTCGGGCCACGCCGCAGCCCGTGCCGCTGCTGCGGCCCTCCGGTCGCTTCGCCTCTCCCCGCCGGCGCAAAGATCCGAGGCCTCCACTGGGCGCCCCCCGTCTGCTGACGGATCCAGTCGGCTTGTTCCCCAGCTCTGCCGACTGCACTGCACATGGGGGAGCGGGCGCACGGGCCGCGAGTGCCCGGCGGTGGTCGCCCCCGCTCGCTGCCCGGCCTGATTCTGCGCTGCGGCGCACGCGGCGCTGGCGCCCGCGGAACCGCGGCCCAGCCCGCCCCTGGCGTCCGAACAGCTCCAGAAACCCAAGCCGAACACCCGCCCGCAGGCAGCTGCGGAGCGGAGTGCGCCGCCAGACCTCGTCCAGCCGCTCCTCCGACTGCCGAGCCGCGTCCTCCCGGGGACGCCTTCCTAGCAGCAGTCGCAGCAACTCCCCCAGCCGCCAGCGCACGCCCCCGCCAGCCGCGGCCCCGCAGCGCCCCCGCCGCCTGCGACTAGCCGCCCGGCGTCAGCCGCGGAGACGGAGAGGGGCGGAGGTTCGCAGGCCGGGCCGCTTGAGCAGCCCTTCCGGCCCGTCAGCAACCTTCTGGACGACCTCCCCGTCGCGGCCCCACCGACAGGGAGAATTGCTGCGCTGGAAGCCGCGGAGCTCATCGATCCAGCACGGATGGCAGGGGAGGCTGACAACACCATCGCCCATATCATGGCTGCCTACGCCCGCTCTCTGCCCCCCCAGATCGACGAGGCATGGAAGACCTGGGCGGAACCCAGAACATGGATCGAAACCAGTCGCAGGCAATTCTTCCCAACCATCTACGGCGACACCACCCCGCGCTCTGGATTCCCAGAGGACATCCAGTGGGACAGAACGAAACCCGCGAAAGGCGCCGCCCCTGCACCCGTCCGCGGGCACGTGGCCCACTTGGCCTCGCGGCCCCATTGGGCCGCGAGGCCGTGCGCGAGGGGCCCGAGAAGACGGCGACGATTGCGGCGGCGCTGGCTGCGACGCTGAGGACGACGGCGGCCGCGGGAAGGAGGGGGCGGGGAGGAGAGACAGGGGGGGGAGAAGGAGGAGAAGGTGGGCGAGGAGAAGGGGGGGGGAAGGAACAGACGAGGGAGGAGGAGGCGGAGGAGGACGAGGAGGGGGACTGGGAGGAGCGAAGGAGGGAAGAGGGGTTGTATATTTGCGCTTCTATCTTCGCGGCCTGCGCCTTCGCATTCGCGCCCCCCGACTATGTTCGCGCTGTTCGCTCTCGCGCGCATCTTCGCGCTCGCATCTTCGCGCCCGCCGCGAACGCACTCGAACTTCCATCGTCGCGCTGGCCACTTTCAATCGCATCGCGCGAACATGAATTGGAAGGGCGTGGAGACGAGGGGCGGGGGGGGGCGCGCGCGGCGAGGGGGGCGCCGCGGCGGGATGCGTTGTTCAAACCCTTGTGGGGGTGGGTGGCGTGGGGGGGGGGGGGGGCGCGCCGTGAAAACCGCGCCGATACTTTGCGCGCAGCTTGTTGCTCGCTGCCGGGCTCCGTTGCCGCGCGGACACGAGTTCGCAGTGGTTTTCGTGGTGGGCATAGACGCTTCACCACTGTAACCCCGCCCCCATCATCGGGTTAGCCTCGTCGAGAATGTGGCCCATGGCAGTGCGTTTTCACGGCGACATCAAATATGTAGAGACCCCTGGCATTACCGCGCGCGGCCGTTCCCACCATTGTCCCCGCTGTCCCCACCAGTGCCCCCACCAGTGTGTCAACTTCCCCACTCTCCCCACCATTGTCCCACGACGGCCCCACTCTCCCCACTTTCCCCACGGTCCCCACCACTGTCCCATTGTCCCCACCGTGCCCATTACTGTCCCACTGTCCCCGCCGCTGTCCCACTGTGCTGTCCCAGCGTCCCCACTGTCCCCATCACTGTCCCACTGTCCCCACTGTACCCACCACTTTCCCCACCGTGCTACTGCCCCACCACTGTCCTCACCACCGCCTTCACCACTGTCCCCACCACTTCCGTCCCCACCACTGTCCCACTGTCCCCACCACCACTGTCCCGCTGTCCCCTCACCACTGTCCCCACCACCACCGTCCCCACCACTGTCCGCACCCCCCCCGGTTTTCGAGTGGGGGGGGTTCGAATCGGTAGTGACCTCCCCCTGTTTTCGAGGAGGGGGGGGGTTCGAACCGGTAGTGACCCCTCCCCCCTTTTCATGATGGACTGGGGGTGGGGAGGGGTTCGAACTGGTAGTGACCCCCCCCGGTTTTCCGGAGGCGGGGGGGGGTTCGAACCAGTAGTGACCCCCTCCGGTTTTCCGCCAGCAGCGGTAGAACACGCTCTTTCTCACCACCACTTCCCTCGCGATTCCCTCTGGAGCTGTCGTATACGCACGGCGTGCCAGTGATGTGAACGTGGGCTCTCCGAGCCTTGCATTCTTTCCCACACTTGACGCAATGGGCGCTTTGCGCCAATGGTCTCGACATGATCAAATCAGAACGACGATCGTGTTCCTCCTTGGGGATCTTCTTCATCCGCTTCCAGACCGAAGGGGTTAGGAAGTTCTTCTGTTCATCAAATATGTGGCACGGCTGGTTATAAGGAGCGTCGTGCAGAATTTCCTCGACACAGTGCGAGTCTTTCTCCACTGCGAAAAGCTCGATGGGTCTGAACTTCAGAAACTTTGATATGCACCTCAAGGCGACCATGGTGTACCAATTCCAGAGCACGACGTACTGATGGTGAGCTTCTTCCCAGCAAGATCCTTCATGATGTCAGCGATTTCTGGAAATGTGGTCGCTGCTTTGACGAACGCGTCTTCTGCCCAATGCATCGAATCGCACAGTGAATCACATACGCTGGTGCTGCGCACACTCGACTCTGTGGTCATTGCGCTGCAAAGCAAAACAAAAACTCTAGAGCCCAAATGGCTAACCCTAAACCTCGGAGAATAAACCCCCAGGGATAGTGAAGTTCGGGGTTTTCGGGGAGAATAAAAGTTGCCCGCCAGAGCCAGCATAAAGAGATACCAAGAGGAAAAAGCCAAAGATAT